TTAAACTGACAGGGGTTATAACCCTCACTTACTCTATTCAAAATGAAAATAAATAAATATATATATATATATATATATATATATATATATATAGTGGGAACTCGCTTCAAAGTGGTAGAGCTTTTCATTTAAAGCACACAGCGACTCGCTTCTTTAAGGGCCTTTTTGCCCAATTTCATTTAAATAAATGTCCCATAACATAAAGCTTCCCACGCAGGGGATATCCACCATCAAACAAAACAACGATTTAGCCTCCTGGCGTATACTCAGCTTGATGTCTGTCTCCTGCAGACTTCTATCAGGAATTATGGCTCTTGCACACAGCTGGCCACTAGAGGGGACTAGCACACAGCTAGTCTCTAGCAGCCCCTTGCTGCTTTTGGCTTCCACCTCTCCTAGGTGAAGCCCTCCTGACTTCCAGGTGGAGCCCTCCTGACTCCTATCTGCCGGAGTGGAGCCCTCCTGACTCCTATCTGCCGGGGTGGAGCCCCTGACTCCTATTTGCCGGGGTGGACTCCTGACTCTATCTGCTGGGGTGGAGCCCTCCCAGATCTCTTTGAAATCTCCAGGCTCCAGATCCCAAAACAGACCTTCCAAACAAAGGAGGAAAATGAAAAGCCACTTTCCTCTGCATCAAACACTCACTTACCCTGGAGCCCCTCAACCTGCCTTGTTGAGAATCCTGGGTGACAGATCGCCACACTGTCACAATATATATATATATATATATATATATATATATATATATATATATATATATTTACCTATAGCTCTACTTTAATGTTCCCAAAGCCATGAGAAGGAAGTTAGGAGATCTGACTGCCATCTTTAGTACAATGATGGTGCAAACATGCATACTGGTTGTGGCTGAACATGCATGTTTATGTGAACAGACACTTTTGCAACTGGCCTTATTTTGTCTGAACTATAATACCTGGACAGGATATTCCAAGTTAGTAGAATGGCTATTTCTTGATCTGACTGTAATTGGTGGTATCCAGTGACTAACATCTCCCATCTATAGGCTCCTTCGTTAGCACATACTGTATTGGTATAACAAGGTTTCTCTGAAGTCATAGCAACTGGAGGATGTCTCTTCTTCTCCTTCACTTACTTTACACCTTTGCTGCTCAAGAGAAATGTGAAAATTGAAGCCGCAGTTTCCAAAGAGTGAGAAAGAGTTTGATGGAATTCAGTATCGATTTCCTTATTTGTCATCCAAAGTCATGTTGCAGCCACACATCTGCCAGTGCCACCATAAAAAGAATCAGCCGAGACAAAACCAGGTTAATTGAAGCATTTTGTTTTTCAAAAATAATTGCAGAATAGGACTCTTTCCACTATCAGAGGACAACCCACCTTACCCAAGTACCACATCTGGACTGGTTGCTTCATGTCATGAATGTACACATAGCCACCATTAGCAATGGCCTTGCTCTGCTTTAGCATACTGACTTGATACTGTAGTTTGGTGTTATTCATACCTTTCTAGTGTTATTACAGGCCCAGGTTGTTTTAATACACCAACCACCACATTATGTACCTCTTTTAATAACTTCAGACCAGGCTCAAGGACAAAGTTTTAACAGTCTTTACTGATCACTTCAGTGCAAACATGATAAAAGTGCAACAGTTCCTTTCCTAATCCTGACTAGCTCATGAATGGCCCAACATAACCTTACAGGTGACAGTTCATTGTGATGGAGTCCATTGACGATGGTATAGTCCATAGTTGGTGTCATAGTCCATAGGTAGCATTCAGGGATTCTTGGTATAGACAGTAGATGACATGGACTTCTGGAAATGGGACAGCAGCACACCAAAGCATGTAAGGACTCTCAGAGGGCTTCTTCATGAGCTATCTGGGGCTCCTGGACCTCAGCCTTCCACCAATTAATATCACAGGTGGGCCGGCTGAAGCTCCAAACAGCCTGTGCACTGGGAGCAGTCAGCTTAACCCTTTCCCAACCCAGCCTTAACTAGTTCCTAACTTTCTAAGCATCTTTAACCTTCTTACATACCAGGGGAGGACTGACCATTTGGAAACTCGGGCACTTCCCGAGGGCCCGGGGTCAGTAGGGGGCCCCATGAGATGCCCCTGGTACCTTTTTTATAGGCTTTTTTTGAGTTTGGGCAAGGACACAAGGGCCCCATGATCCCCTATTGCCCGGGGGCCCCATGAGTTGTCAGTCCACCCCTGTTACATACCCATTGCTAGTAATGGTGTGCCTTTTGCATTGTTAAATTGTTGGAGCACTAGTATTACAAGGATCATACTCCTCTTTTCTTTTTCTAACCCACCCTTGAAAAGCAATAACGGGAATGTGATCACTATGCAGACTAGTTATCCTTCATATGTTTCTTTTCAGGTTTTCAAGCATAAGGGCCAGAATTAGTTGCAAACAACAGATTGCCATATATCACATGGCATCTTCTGGGTCAGTCTAAGGTTCACAAGCTGTAGGTGCACCCAAGCCTATGCTGCTCCAGGCTCCATCTATAGCCAACACAGCATGTTTCTTTAGATCTACCTGTAGGGTTCAGTATGTAGGCAGTGTGCCCGCTGTGTACACGGTGCTGATACAACTGGATAGAACATGTTTTGTCCATTATGATCAGTTCTCATTTTCCGGCATGTGTACACAGAAATTCTGTTGCCAATAGGCTTCAGTGAACCCTCCAGGCAATGTCACAGAATGCTGCTTCAAAGGAAAGCAATGCGCTGTCAGCACCCATCTGTGTGATCCATTGCATGCGTCTTATTGTTATCAGAGTAATATTCTATAATGTAACACGTGCGCTCAACCATCAGTTCAAAGCATGCTTTCTTGACACCTGTCTGATACATCATTTCACCACAAATCTGTTATGACCGTATAGACCGTGATATGCCATATTTCCCCTTCTATTTTGCGAAGCCAGCACTAAATGATGGAAACTAGGAAAACTAACCCAAAGTAGAGATATAAAAACTAGCAAACATTAAAACTAATGAGACTAAGATATTCCATAGTCACATGGTGATATGTTTTTTGACATAGTCTGAGTACATTTGATGTACATACAATTGTCATTGTGCCCTATATTAAAGCAGAATTCTGGGCTTTACCTAACTCTCCGTAAAAATGCCCCCCAACACCTATGCTAACTACTCTTTATACTATATATAACCACTCACCGGCCACTTTATTAGGTACACCTTGCTAGTGCCAAGAAATTATCCCCCAAACCATTACACCACCAGCCTGTACCGTTGATACAAGGCAGAATGGATCCATGCTCTCATGTTGTTTATGCCAAATTCTGACCCTACCATCTGAAAGTGCAGCTGAAATCGAATGCTCATTCTCTTCTGATCTCTGACATCAAAAATCATTTTTGTCTATACAACTGCTGCTCACTGGATATTTTCCCTTTTTTGGACCATTCTCTGTAAACACTAGAGATGGTTGGATCCCAGTAGATCAGCAGTTTTGAAAATACTCAGACCAGCCCATCTGGCACTATGCCATGTTCAAAGTCACTTAAATCCCCTTTTCTTTCCCATTCTGATTTTGACTTCAGCAAGTCGTCTTCACCACTTCTGGATGTCTAAATTATTATTATTATACAGGATTTATGTAGCGCCAACAGTTTGCGCAGCGCTTTACAATATAAGGGAGACAGTACAATTACAATACATTTCAGTACAGCAGGAATAAGAGGGCTCTGCTCGTGGAGCTTACAATCTAAAGGAAGGGGGAGGATCTACAAAAGGTGATAGCTGCAGGGGATGATCTGGCCGAGGTGATTCAAGTACCGTTCTTAGGTGGAGGTGGGGTAGGCTTCCCTGCAGAAGTGAGTTTTCAAAGATCACCTAAAGGCAGACAGGGTGGGGGCTGACCGGACATGCTGTGGTAGGGAGTTCCAGAGGATGGAAGAGGCTCTGGAGAAGTCCTGGAGGCGAGCGTGAAAGGAGGTGATGAGGGAGCTAGAGAGGAGGATATCATGGGAGGAGCGGAGTGGGCGATTTGGGCGGTATCTGCGGATGAGGTTGGTGATGTAGCTAGGGGCAGTGTTGTGGATGGCTTTGTAAGTTGTGGTTAGTATTTTGAATTTTATACGTTGGGTTAGTGGAGGCCAGTGGAGGGATTGGAAGAGAGGGGCAGCAGTCGCTGATCGGTTGGTAAGGTGTATGAGTCTAGCAGCAGCATTCATAATAGACTGAAGGGGTGATAGCCTGTGTAACGGTAGACCAGTGAGGAGGGAGTTGCAGTAATCGAGGCGAGATATAACCAAGGCGTGGATAAGTTGTGGATAAATATGGATGTGATTGGCTGATTAGCAATTTGTGTTACTAAACAATTGAACAGGTGTACCTTATAAAGTGGGCGGTGTGTGAATATACCTAGCTTTTTTCTTATTCAGTGTGTTTATTGGATTTAACAAGGTACAACAGAAAACAGGCACTTGGGTTACAGTTTGATTGGGCAATATGTCTGGAAAGCAAACTTGTACACAGAAAATGTATCAAGATAAAGTGAGATGACAGAGAACTATCAATCAGACATCCAGTGGTGGCCACCCCATATCATCAGATATAAAATAAGACGGAAATTCAAAGGGAATTTGATTGAACAAAATCTATTTTTACATATAACAGGGCATCCCAATTAATGAACGGAGGTATCAATATGCTAACCGAATCTGTGGGCAGTTTGTTTGGAACAGTTTGAGTGGACATAGAGAATGAATGGGGGGGGAGGATAGGGGGCAGAGGGAGGAGGGGGAGTCTGCTGGGGAGATGCATAAAGTAAGTGCCTTGGCATTGAAGGGAGAAAGTGTTTTTAGGCATTGCTAGATAAAGCCTGGGATTCTACTTTAGGGACATATGGGAATGTTATGAATGTAGTCATTTAGATTTGTGGTCCTGAGGCTTTATATCTACTGAATACTTTGAATTTTGACTATATTCATTCCTTCCTTGCCCATTGTTGCCATTGATTAAAGTGTTACTAAACCCAGGACCCTGCATTCACTATATCTGGTCTCCCACAGTACACAGATACAAACATGGAACAACAGAGTACAACATGGAAATGCAATTATTTTAGTAAATATAAAACTGCTAAATACCTTTTCTCATCAGCAGTATATAGCAGTCTTGAGACTTCTATCAGTGTCCAGCTGAGCTTTTAGGAGGAGTTTTCATTCTGCTCTGACTATCCTATGAGGCTCCATGACACCTGGCCCTCTGTCTGGACAGTGCTGATTGGCCCTGTGCTGATCAAATTCACCCTCCAAAATAAAAAAAAATATCTAGCAATACACACTAAACTGAGCATGTGCAGAGTGACTCCTAGAGATCTGTACTATCAGCAGATAGATTAGGGACAGTAGAGGAGGGGGAGGATCAGAGAGGACAGGATCAACAGCCTTTTTGCAGAGGATTAACCTCTTAGGTTCCACAGTGAGTATAACAAGCATGCTTTAATAGAGACTGATTTTACTGTTGTGAATTTAGTAACACTTTAAATATTGTTCCTTAGTCATGTGTTAAACAGTTCATGTTTAAAGCAGAACTTGTGATAAATCAATGTGGTTCTGTAATAATTAACACATCGTTAAATTAATTTTTAAATGCAAGCTGTGTTGCTGAAATTGACCCTCTATGGCCCTTGACAGAAGGAGCCAATCAGTTCTTGCTCTTAGAAGACGCACACTGATAGGAGAAGAAAGCAGAGTGACATAGTGATGAGCTCATCACTGTAATGCTTCTTTTACTGTCATTAAAGTAATTTAAAGTAATACTAAACACACCCTTCTCTTTCTGTATATGGATGATGGCAATGTAATTAATTTCATTAAAAAAGTACCCTTTTTTCTAATCAATATAAAGCTGTCACATGACCCAGCTCTTTCCCAGCCTGTCTGCAATGAAACAGTAGCAGGAGGAACGTTTAATTGTCTGCTGCTGGTCACATAATCAAAAGAAAAAAAAAAGCCTTTGGGATCCCGAGTAAAAATAAATAATTAATATTAATAAACTGTTTTAAATCATCATACAACTATATATTTAAAAATAAATTCATTATTATTTTTAGCAGTAACATGATATAAGTGGATTTCTGCCAGTCACAGGTTGTGTTACACTCCTCAAGCCTGTGTCTTATATTAACAGGGATAAAGCCTCCATCAATCAAGATGTGTTTAGCTGATTAGTGAGCTTAGAGGAGGAGGGAGGGAGTAGGCTGACATTTACCATTGTATATACGTCCACATGTGTGACTCTATAGTCACATGGGCTGCTCAGATGTGATAGAGAGGACATGCTCAGCATAGAAACTCACTGTTTTTTGAAGAATAAAAAAAAATAATCCCATAGTAAATGAGTGAGCATGTAATACAGCATTTACTGATAGTTTTTTTGTGATCTGGGTTTAATGACACTTGAGGAGGCTGCGGCAGGTCAAGAACGACCTGGGCTCAGAGGAAATGTGTTTAATAATGCTGTCCATCAGACTGAGGACTTCTACTGAGAGAAAACAAAACTGCAGGAGAAATCTCTAGATTGAAGCCATAGATTGCAGCAAAGCTGATTTTGTTATTGTGGCTATTAATGGGATTTTTTTTAGTCTTGTTATTTTTAACTGGAGTTCTGCCTAAAGATGACTCCCAGATATGGCAGTTTTTACATAGTCATGTTTTTCCGGTTTGAACATATATTACCAATATATAAGCAGTAGGGACAAAATGTACGTGAAATGCATTGAAACAGCAATGTTTTACTATATAATAATCATTTTTTTTAAAAAATGAAATTTTTTAAAAATTTCAAATTTGCCGCCGGTTGCGGCGCCCGTACGTCCCGACGTCACAGGGACCAGAACACGGAAGCCGGATGCCAGCATCGGCCGGAGGAGATGGCCGGGGACCCTGCAGGGGACACATCACGGGAGCGAAGGACAAGGTAAGTGCTGCAGGGACTCCCTGAGCAATGCTGCATGGTAAGCCCGAGTGTAGCTCAGGGTTACCGCTCTTGGTACTGATATTTTACCCCGAGCTACACTCAGGAATACCGCCAGGGAGGTTAACAATGCACCAGGGCATGTGCTCAGCACAGGACCCGGAAACTGGGGGGATTACTGGAGTAGTGGTGTCTAATACTCTGATTTCCAGGCTCTAGAGGTATCTCACAGGAATGGTACATATAGAGTTACATTGGTGCAAGGTGGATGTAAAAAATTGCCATACTTGGAATTCTTCTGTAGCCTCCCTGGCGGTATTCCCCAGTGTAGCTCGGGGTAAAGTTTCTGTACCAAAAGCGATAACCCCGAGCTACACTCGGGCTTACCATGCGACGCTGCTCCGGCATCTGTTCTTCTCTTACCTTGTCCTGCACTCCCCGCGATGTCCCTCCTGCAGTGTCCCCTGCAATGTTCTCCGGCGTATAGCCGGCATCTGTCTTCCCTGTGACGTCGGGGGACGGAATTGGTGGGAAATTTGAAAATGACAAAAAGTGACATTCACTAAATACACTAAAATAACATAGTAAAACATTACTGTATCAAACCATTTCACATACATTTTGTCCCGAGTGCTTTGTCCTGCGCCCTGCCTGCATTTTTACTGTTCTTTCTGCCTGGAAACTGAGAAACGTCCATGGCGTCCAAAAAGTGTCCCTTTAGGTCAAAAGCGGGTTTAGATCAGCTAGAGAACAGCGATAGTAAATTAGAACCACTTGCAGAATTGAGTGATAATGATTCGTGGGGAAATTAATCATCAGACACTGAAAACGATTTTGCGACTTTGCTCAGCGATGTGCGAACTTGGCGCTATATTTCAAGTTTCGTGTTTTTGGTTTGATTATATTATTGAATTAAATTTATTATTATTATATTATTATTATTTTTTATGATTATTTATTAAATTATAATTTATGATTTAGTGTTTCAAATTTTATCATACCCGGATATTTACTAGACTCTTGTTCGGACAGATTTCAGTGAGTTATTCCTAAAAATTACAGCCTACAATAAAAAAAATACATATTTCCATGGAAAAAAATGTACCACTTAGAGCACAGAAATATGGACATAATCAGACCGCTAGGGAGGTTAAAGGATATATTTTTTATTTATCACATAAGGATTTATGATGACCTACTTTCCTCCATGGTGATTGCATAATGTGTGCTTGTTAATGGCAGAGTGGATATATATATTTTATAAACAACTCTGTTTAGGACAAACTATTTTCTTTTTTCTCTTCCTGTTGGGTTAGTTCTCTTAGAACCTACAAGGATTATAGCTATATACAGTATATACTTAGCGAATTTCAACTGGTTCCTAATGAACCCAAGGCCATGCTGCTCCAGGCTTCATCTAGTCTTCAGTATATAGGCAATGTGCCCACTGTCGGCACTACTCACCCCAACATCCTTATTTTGAAAAATCAAAGAAAGCTGGTAAAAAATTGTGGACTGAACAACACCTCCATCCAATCAAATGCAGGCACTGTTCAGGTATTCTCACAGTTGGTCATAATACAATAGTCGCAGCAGGAGATTATACCATCTGCTCCGTTTAGGGCTTGTTCACACCAGGGGCGGACTGAAAACTCATGGGGCCCCCGGGCATTAGGGGATCATGGGGCCCCTGTGTCCTTGCCCAAACTCAAAAAAAGCCTATGAAAAAGGTACCAGGGGCATCTCATGGGGCCCCCTACTGACCCCGGGCCCTCAGGCAGTGCCCAAGTTTCCAAATGGTCAGTCCGCCCTGGTTCACACTAGAATTACAAAGGAACCATGATCCGTGTTCCTGTGAAATTCCTGTACATTCCCTTGTAGTGGAATTTGGCTGCAAATTGCACCAGAAGGCACAAGATAAAAAAACTGCTGTACCATGCAATCTTTTGCCTGCAAATGCACTGCATTTGTGATCTGCGTTTAAGGTGTTAAAAGTATATTGGTACTCATATCACAAAGGCAGTGCGTTTTAAACTCAGTACGGGAAACATGCGCAGAATGCACCTTACCCGTACCACATTCTAGTGTGAGCAAGCCCTTAGCTTGGATGGAGTAATCTATTAGATTTTCTTTTTTTATTCAGAGATTGAGATGGGGAGAATTTTTATATGATGGAGGGACTGTGAAGTGATAGGGGTACTCTGTCGTGGAGGTACTCTGATGTACAGGGAAGTCTTTGCTTTATTGGGGTGATTTTGATGTGATGAGGGGACTGTGATGTGATGGGGTCTCCTGAAGTGAAAGTGGACACAGGACCTCTAATGTGATGGAGGACCTCTGACATGATATGAACCTTTGATATGCTGGTGGACCTCTAACATGATGGAGGACCTATGACATGATAGGGGACCTCTGAGGTCATGGTGGATCTCTGACATGATGGGGGACCTCTAATGCAATGGAGGACCTCTGATATGATGGAGAGCCTCTGACATGATGGGGGACCTCTGATGTGATGGTGGACCTCTGATCTGATGGTGGACTTCTAACATGATGGACCTCAGATGTAATGGTGGATCTCTGACTAATGGGGGACCTCTAATGTGATGGAGGACCTCTGATGTCATGAGGAAACATCTGACATAATGGTGGACGTCTGATGTGATGGTGGTCCTCTGATGTGATGGTGGACCTCTAATGTGAAGGAGGATCTTTAAAATGGTGAAGGATCTCTGACATGATGGGGGACCTCTGATATGAGGAGGGGTTTCTGATGTGAAGTTAATTTCATCAAGATGGTTGTCTCCATTGTCCCAGGCTTAGGTTTACAATATGCTTTGAGTGGATACAGCTTTCCATACATCACATATGGGAAAATATCCTTCATTTGAATCTTTTGATAGTGAAAGTCATAAACTGCAACATTAACTCTTCAGTGGCTGGACTGTTTACACAGCACACGCTTCATTGTAACTAGCTGTCATAGCATTTTCCAGCAGATTTATAGATTTACAACATGCAGTCATATATTACATCCTGCTAGAGATTTTCTGTCATATTCTATAATTAATGTATGCACAGTACATCATTATTTATTCCCAGGCTGACGAGTGCTGCATGTTTATATATGTATAAGTAAAGCTGTGTGCAAGGATTTAGAGCAGTACTTGGCATTCTGCAGACCTCCAGCTGGTGAAGATCTACAATTCCAAGCATGTGCTGCTCCAAATGTATGAAGGCAGGTCATCAGTAATAAAGAGGATACTTCTTCTGTCACCTAGACAGAAAAAAGCTTGTTAGGAAATTGAATCCATGTTCCCAAGTAGAGTCTTAGATCAGGGGACACCAGGAAACAATAGACATCCTGGAAAAAGTGGTGCAAAGAAACGTTGCTTTCAGCAGCTAATCCTATCAAATTCTCAAATGACATTTGAGCGTTACTAGTTTTAAAACAAAAGAACAAATGCACAGCACCACCATTTTTTCCCCCTTTTCACCATGGTATATATGGTAGGTTGTCCATGACCAAGCAGTTCCCAACTGTCCATAATACCAAAAGTAGGTTTACCCAGATCTTGGCATTTTATAGTAGGTATAATTACACCGGAAAAATCCTCATACAAATGAGCGCAGAGAGGCCACTCCAGGTGGAAACATGGTGAACAGTTAATCATGAGCTCACCACTGCTGCCTTGTTAATCATATGCATGATAAAGAGATACTGGAAAAAAAAAGGCGCTGTGGAAAATGCTTGACAAGCACCTTAGTGAAGGTGCATCTTTATTGGGTGAGATAAAGTAGGTATAATAAAATTAACCATGAAGTACTGACCAATGATCTTGGCATTTTATAGTCGACTTCAAATCACGTATACATCCTGGGTACTGGCAAACGAAGGCATGTCCGGCGTGGCTTCAGCTGGGATTTTATGTGGGGTTTCCAAGGTATACATTACTGACCAGATCATGGTTTTTATAGTAGTATACATTACTGACCAGATCTTGGCATTTTATAGTAGGTATACATTACTGACTATCAAAAGATCTTGGCATTTTATTTTTAGGTATACTTACTGACCAGATCTCATTTCATTTTTTTTATTTGTTGAGATTTTTCATTTTCAGCGCCTTTTTTTATATTTTTTACTTTACAGTTAATAAGAAAAAAAGATAGGTGGCATATAGTGCTGATCAGGTCATATTTACTGACCAGATCATGGCATTTTTTAGTAGGTATACATTACTGACCAGATCTTGGCATTTTATAGTAGGTATACATTACTGACCAGATCATGGCATTTCATTTTAATTTTATTAATTTATTTTTCATTTTCATTTTTTTTTTTATATTTTTTACTTTACAGTTAATAAGAAAAAAGTAGGTATATAGTGCTGATCAGGTCATATTTAGTCTCTTAGGTGCAACAGCCTTAGAACCTCTCTCCAACACTTTAGGGTTGATTTACTAAAGGGAAATAGACCTTGCACTTTGCGAAGTGCTTGCACTTTGCAAGTGAAGTTGCTCCAGAGCTCTTGCAGGGTGCAACCGCACTTTGCAAAATGCACAGTCTATTTGCCTTTAGTAAATCAACCCCTATGAAACTATGAGACCAGGTCTTTGATATGTCCTCCATCAACATTGCAACATTCCCGAGTCCTGTCCCTGACACTGACACAACAAACAAATTTTGGTAGGCATCAATGTCCATAAGTGCTTGTGAGATTAACTCATTGAATTTGTCCACTGTGTGGGGCTTCTTCTAAAAAAAACAAAAAACAAAACCATAACTGTCAGGTTGGGTGAGCATGGTAGTCAGTCAGTGGTGAGAAGGTGATTTATGTTCTCCTCAACCCCTGTTTTAACCACTTAAATCCCACATCAGCTACTTGAATGGATTGTGTTTGGTGAGAGTTACTTTCTGCAGAATGCAAAAGGGGTGATAATTTTTTTGCAAATCATTGGGGAATGTGTATATCTCTGTACGACTTCTTTTGCAGCTTAGAGGGTTTGTTGGGGATAACAAAAACATGATTCTATCACTTATTTTTTTCTGCCTCCTAACTGCAAGTCTAGGTCTAAGTAGAAATTAAACAAAATGCTATAATCCATACTTTACCCTGGATGGGAAAATGTTTTGTCCATGTGTAGCATCCTTCTAGTTACGTGCTAGGATGGTCTGAGCTTTAGAACATCAAGGCTTCTTATTGAAGGGATTCCATCTGTTCATAAAGGGGGTGGCTTCCCCCTGCCCCAAGCTGTTCTATTCATTCATTATATTGTTCATAAGGTCCCGTCTGTGACAGATCTCTGGGGCCTACACTTGGGAGTTTGTTAACACCTCAAAGACTTCATCTGAGGATCCAGTTTGCATTGCTTTAATATGAGGAACCTGGAGGAAGCTGAATTGGCACAGCTGCTCACCTAGCCTTGTGAGTACTGTCCTGCAGCGAGATCTTGGTGACTGTACACTATTGGGATTGCTGGGCCAAGTAGTTACATACTGACCAGTTACCTTTAGTTTTGTGGAAAGACGGTATACTAAACTTGGGCTAAACAGTTCTTCTCCTGAGAGGTTCATACTGTCCCTTTCAGACTCTCATGGGAGAATCGTTTTCTAAAACCTGAGGCAAGTAGTTCACCTCCTGAAGGTTACATACCTTTGGCCTCTGCTATTCTCTCGCAAGAGGATTGTTTTCTGATTTTAGCGGACAATCTGTTCCTGGAGTTAGTATTATGGAGAAGTGTGTCTTCCTAATTCTACTAGTTGTTTTAGCAGAGGTGTATTTACCGTGAGACAAATAAGGCGTTTGTCTTGGGTGGCACTGTCCCCATGGCAGTAACACACAGAAGCTGAGGCTTGCTTGCTGGCGTGCATCAGTCTCTGCTACATGGGATCTGATTCGGATGGAGGATGGTGGCCTCTGGATCTGCATGGCACACATAGGCCAGAGCCGGGATAGAGGCGGAGCCGAGTGGACAGACGAAGAAGAAGCCTCCGCTGACCAGTGCTGCCTGAGAGCAGCCGGGGCTCAGCTCTGCCCATTTTCTGTGCAGGGATCCGGGGAGAGAGTGGAGAGGAGGGTGCTGGCTGTCGATGGGAGAGTGAGCCTGGCCTGGGGGAGGGAAGAAGCTAGCTGGGGATTGGGGGGAGGGTTCAGGGAGGGGGGATGCACACAATTTTTGTGTTACCTATGGTAGCACAAAACGTAAATACACCACAGGGTTTTGGAGTATAAAATACTACCCTATACCCCATCCATGTTACCCAAAATAAAACCAAAAAAGACATCCCTTAGATTTCCCTTTGTGTAAGTGTAAGTGTGCCTGAACCAGGGGCGAACTGACCATTTGGACACTCGGGCACTGCCCGAGGGCCCGGGGTCAGTAGGGGGCCCCATGAGATGCCCCTGGTACCTTTTTCATAGGCTTTTTTGAGTTTGGGCAAGGACACAGGTGCCCCATGATCCCCTATTGCCCGGGGGGCCCCATGAATTGTCAGTTCATCCCTGGCCTGAACTGTGCTCCGTGTGTGCTGGCAGCCTCTGTACCTTGGAGGGAGATCCCTAATCATCACTATTATCTGTGCAGTGACTGTTCTTATAAACAACATCAGTGGCCATTTTGAGCATATGCTATACATGCGAAGAGGAAAGATGCATTTATCAGTAAAGTAAGACATTGCACTTTTTATTTGGAAACAGATTATCAATAACATAATAAAACCCAGCAAATTCAAGATGTAAGATATTTCTGACTTTAGTGCAGTACAATTCAGATTTCAGCACTAAGCATTTTCATTTCAAAAACATTTTTAGTAAGTTTTTAATAAAAGTACAGTAGGTAACATCTAATAATAATAACAATGTAGCGCAGAGAATAATAGAGAATTGACCTACAAAATTCACAAATACCTGGGCCGCTGGCTTCATTTTCAAACAACCAAGATCTACAAATGCCTAATGGGCTTACCCACCTCATCACTTGCTGCACTT